TTTTAAATCACGAAACTTCAAACAAAGCAAAGCTTTTGACGCCAAACTTTAAATTCAGAAACTAACAAAAAAGAAAAGACCGAATCTAGATAAAGCGACGATAAACAAACAAGCAAACAAGAAGCTCAAGAAGTGTTCCACCGTCTCATCCTCTTCAAAGCAGGATGGGCAAATGGAGTTGTCATTTATGCCTTTTATCACAGTCAGGTGTTTGTGCCACGTAGATAGACCTTCTGAGATTGAAGGCAACATGAGTTTTGTCCACCTGTTTCTGATGGTGGCTTCGATGGTCGAAGTGGGGGAGTCAGATGTCTCATTTTCAGGCACGCAGAGTAAAGCCAACATAATTTAGTGGAGACTTGCATTGCCGAACTAGTTTGAAAGTACTTAGATAGAGGTCTGACCAATAGCCTTAAGTGCAGCTTGGCTGTACCTGTAGATACGTAAACTCCTTCCCCTCCACCTATTTTCCACCACGTAGTCTATGGCTTTGGGGATTGCAAATACCTCAGCCTGGAAGACTGAAACATATTCGCCAAGATAAAAGTAAAGCTTATCCCCATTAACCTCGAAAAATACTCCAGATCCTGACCCTGAGTCTATTTTGGAGCCATCAGTGTAGATTCGACAATGTACGAGTGCTGGAATTATACCAGCATTTCCCCTCATCGAACTCTCTCTCTCTCTAGAATCTCTTCAACGTACTATCATGTAGCATTCAAAAGACACAAGTGCTCAAATATCTGCCGCTGGCAATTTCCACATCGCCTCACTCAGTGTACTACCAACATCCGTTACTTTTTAGTCTGCAGGAGGCGGTAAGTTCACCAGTGCTTCAAGAGCACTATACACCACTCAAAAAATTTAAGTTAAATAAATAGGCTATCAAGCAACCATTTTGTTTATTTACTCGTGGACCCCATATTTTTTTCGAGTCTCCCGTGGACCCCTGGGGGTCCACCTGGACCACTTTGGGAATCACTGGTGTACATCGAAAGCCGCTTCGTCAATCTGTACGAAATGCAAATTGCGACGGGGTTACAGGTTCTGGTAAACGTTGCGAATAATTCTCATGGGAATAGGAATTCACTCTCTCATTCTAACTAGCTAATTTGTAATGAGAATGGATGATTTTACTCTACGATGGGAGTAAATATCCATTACCATGAGTGCGAATTCCTGTTCTCATGAGAATTATCTTCATCGTTTACCAGATACTTAAAATATCACTAAGTGGGAGAATCGCACACTTTTCAAAAAATTAAAGATGCATTTGGAGTTAGCTATTTAAATATGCACATAAATATACCCTACAAACATGAACGCTCCCCCTAGATTAGGTTGCAGAACTGTGTTATCAGTTAATCAAAAACATTTCTTACTTTATAATATGAACAAATTATTTTTATTGCGCCCACAAAGTACTTACAAAAACATATGCAAATACATATTTAACATGATGCGTAAGAATATACAGTGACGAGCAAAACTGTAACATGGAGTAACACTTTTTATTTCAGCTGTCGCTATATTTCCAAGTTCTAACGACATTCATACTGTTGTTGTATATTTTTATTGGTACATCTTTGCTTCCTCTGTCATAACGATTTGAAGTCAATTCAACAACATTAACAAAACCAGCAGACAAAAATGTAAATTAAGGCAAATGTTACAGTTTTGCACTCATATATTTTTAATAACTTTTTGACAATTTTCACAAAAAAAAAAAGAATTATTAACACAATGTTCAGTATGCTTTTGCTTTATTTAGTTCCTGGTTGCAATTTGGCATACCTAATGTGTATGTCTGCAAAAATTCTGGAGGTATAGCCTCCCATATATCCTTGGTGTGCTTTCACAGCTCATGTACTCCATTGGACGGACTTGGATACTTAGTAAGATGCGCTTTTAGTTGATTTCGCAAACTCTCTATGAGGTTCATGTCCTCGGATTGTGGAGGTCATTTCAAATTTGCAAATTTTTGCTTTTGTTCCAGTCTTTGCGAACATGTGCAGTGTGTTTTGGTTGCTTTTTCAGCAGAAACTCTAATTTTTTCGACTACATCTTGCAAATTTTGTTGAAATATGAACAGATACTGTTCCTTACGCATAATGTTTACAAACGGATCAACAACATTTTTGAAATACAACCCCAAACTATTATTGACCGACCACTGTGATTCACAGTTTGCCTTACATGATGCGCGTAGGCTTAATTTGGGCCTTTGATGCAATACCATGCCCGGCCATCTGATTCAAAGCGATTAACTTAGTCTTGTCAGACCAAATAACCCTCAATTAAATCTTAAAAATTCCAATAGGCAGCGGTCCGGTTTTCGTGCGATGCAGCAAAACGCTGCCACACTCGCACTTGTATTTTGATCAAATTTGCTTTTTTCTTCTTTTATGATCCATTGTGCTCAATTTGGCAATTTTTCGCCTCACTATCTACTGATTTGCATTCAATTTTAATACCTTAAGCGCTTTTGTAGTAGTGCCTGCAGCGCTACTTGCTACTAAGTTCACAAGATATCGGACTGTAATATATTTTGACAGACTTCCTTTGTCCTTAGTAACACTTTAGGCTATATTTTTTCTCAGTCTTAACATTTTCATGTGGCAAACTCCAGAATTTTTGGCCACTTTCCCTGCGGTCCCGCCTCTTCGCAGTAAATCTATTATTTACATTTATGTTTCCTGATTAACCATATTATTTACTGGTAACCACTTCTTGAATAACCCTGCAAAAATCGCGACTACTCCATGCATGCGTGTAAAGAGTACTCCCTAAGGACCAAAGAGTACTCCAAAATTAACCACAATTCATATAAAAAATATGGTCCAATTAACATTGCGATGTCCTAGGGCAGGACCATATACTCCATCCCTGCATTACATCAGAGTAGCACAAAACTACTCCAACATATTAACAATGGGCATTGTTGTTATATTTTTTCGTTTGTACACGCTTTTGTTCTTCACTTCTCAAATGCTTTTTCGAAATTAATAAAAACCAAGACAAAAATTAAAAATTACATGTTGCCTCTGACGGTATTCGAACCCGAGCATGCTGGGAGCTAAGAACTAACAGCGAGCATCTCTACACGTTCAGCTACAGCCAGACATGCAAATGTGCTTTCAAATGCTCAACTTCAATCACGTTTCGTTAAAACACGAGCAGTGATCGGATAACAAACAATAAGCTGGCGCAGAGACACGAGTTGGTCCGTTACAGCATGACAGAGGAACACTTTTGTAAGTACTCCAATTTACCACAAATAGAGTACATGGTCCAACGATTTTTGCAGGGAAATTACAATACAGGAAAAAGCCATCTGACTTCCAACTAATGAAAAGATAACTGTAAAATGCAAAACTGAGAGTGAGTGCAAAAGTGTAACATCTGCCTTAATTTACATTTTTGCCTGCTGGTTTTATTATTGCTGTTGGATTGACTTCAAATCTTTGTGAGATAGGGAGTAGGGGTGTACCAATAAGAATATACAACAAAAGTATGAAAGTCGTTAGAACTATGAAAGATAGCGGTGGCTGAAATAAAAAGTGTTTAATCATGTTACAGTTTTGCTCGTCACTGTATATACATACTTATATATGCATATGTGTATTTGTAGGAAAACAGCCCTTACTTAGGCTTTTTGCATTCCATAATAAATTTACGGAAAGCATTGCATTCTTCATTATCATTCCATGTAGATGATGGGCAATTCTGGAATGTCTGCATTTTGATACAACCCATTGTCATAGCACTAAAAGGCGAACAGAGGGGTTGGAATTTTTGTTTGGAAAACTCCGGATTTTTTTCAATCTCTTCGGCGATTTTCGTCTTCAACTCGTTGGCGTTGGCAGAGCAAGCATTGAATGATTCTTTCATAATTATAGCCATTTCCCTATCGTCCTTTACAACTGTGTTTAGCAGCTGCTCAAATTTATCCGCATTGAGTTCACCATCCTCGCCAATGACTTCAGTTTGATTGAAGATGCATTCCATGAAACACTGAATATACAAACAAAAAGAAGCGAAAAAAGTTAACACGTTTTAAAATATATACATAAATACGATGCATAAAAATGTGTCCCCAAATGCACAAATGGTCGCTTACAGGATGCATATGTGGTCCATGTGGATGTGGATGTCCACGCATTGGTGGTTCTTCACTGGAAGGTGGTCGCGGCGGTGGTGGTCCGGCGAATTGGGCGCATTTCTGCATTAGTTCATCGGTGGTGAGGTCAGGCACTGGGCAGCACATGTGTGGAGGCTGTTTTCATTGGGTGTAAATTGTTAGTTCGGTTCGTTTGCACATTTCATAAAAAATTCTGCTAAAATAAAGTTCACTCACAACATGACGTGGCTTTTTGGTGCAATCCACACTTGTAGTATCCTGCGCATTCGCATAGTGCTGTAATCGAAAACGATGAGGTAAATCCAGTTTCTAAATTTTCTCTGAAATTTTTACGTACCACAAATACGCAAATCACTGCAAAATACACAAAGCTTGCCTTCATATTTTAGTCACTACAAATAACGAATTTCAACTGATTTTCATGGCTTGCAAAAGCGGATTTTTATAGCAAATTTCATTATAATTAATTAATTAATTTGTATAAAAAGTGCCATATGCTTTCGCGTTTCAGCTTCATTATATTGAATCACGCCTGCGATGATTCAATTTTGATAATTTGCTCATTAATGGGAGGCAATTACTTTTTTGGTGTTAGAAAATGCGAATAAAAATACAATTATAATTGCTCAATAAATTTTTTAAAAATTGTTTAATAAAAAACCGCTTGGTATATCCGCATATCGCACACGATCTTCAAAAGCGACATATCTCA